ATCTCATTTATAAAATACTCAATTTTTATTTATTCGATTCGATTCTCTTTGAAACCAGAGTGAACCAGACCGTGCCCATCCAAAATGTAATTTCCAAGTGTTTTCTCTTTTCCAAACACAATTTTTTAATATTTATTTTTCTCATTTACGGAATCATTCATAGCATATTATAACGTCACGCACTCTGCAATTGTTCAAAAACATTATTCTGCATTAGTTAGTTTTTGCTTTCATTAAAAGTGTGTCAAAAAAACATTTTGTAATTTAGAGTGCTCCTATTATTGAAGCCATCGGTCATTTTATTTTGAGAAATGAAAGTTGGAAGATGGAATGTATTAGTGTGAGATCACATCGTCTTAAGAATAAAGAGAGAAACTCTTGCCTATTGTTCAATGGTGGTGGGGTCACTGGTGGACTCGAGGGGTCCTGGGGTCATATGACCCCCAACTTTTAAGATTTTCTTTTTTATAAAATTATGTTTAGTGTCAATTGAAATCTAAATTTTAATTTAAATCGAATTTAACAATTAATTTTAATAACATATTTTATGGAATTCATAACTTTTCTAATTTTATAAAAATTTATTAAAAATTCGAATTTAATCACCACCATACAGGAGCAAGGCAAGTCACAAAAAAAAAATGATTTTTTCTTTTCTTTTTTCTCTTGATCTCTCTTATTCTCCCCACGTTTTTTATCAAAATTTTAACCCTTCTAATTTTTTAAAGTTTGTCCATAATTTCTCTACAAATTATCACGTATATTACAAGTCTTCACTTTCCAATCAAATTTTCAATTAATTAGAACCTAAATTTGCATTTTCTCCTATCAAATTGTATATATAGAATGTGTTATATCCAATTTGACTTATATTTAATGAATTGTGTTTATTTGATTGATTATTATTATTGAATATTGGTTATATGTTTTTCATTTTGATTACTTGAATTGATTGTTTGTACTTTTTTATTTTTTTTATGGGTGAATTGATTGTTTGTATTAAATACACTATAAATGTTTTAAACGTGCATATGCATTTTTGTGAAGAGCAAAATATTAATAAAATGACCATTCGAAATCAAATGGATGAAAATGTTAATAAAGAAATATTTTTTAAATGTAAATCTGTATTTTATCGGGTCAAGTATGAATCATTCAAAATTTAAAAATAAAGTATTCGATTTGTACAGAATTTGATTGTGCTCTCTAACTCAAAATGTTTGCGTCTACCTCTAGTGGTGGTGGCAATGATAGTCTCAGCACGAGTGGTTATAACATGGTTGTGGTGGCAAGCGAGTTGTGTGGTAGTGGGTTGCGAAGAACATAATCTATTTCATTTTTCAAAAAGAAATTTGGGACTCTTGTTATAATTTTTTATTTACGGGATATCCTCAATTAAGATTTCGATAGATTTTAAAAGATCATAAATTCTAATGAATTTTGTAAATTTAATTAGATTTCCATTAATTTCATAAGAATCTCATCAAATATGATAAACTTTTAAAAGATTTGATTATATATATTTTTTAAACATGAAATCCATACAAATCTTTTAAAATTATTTTATTAATAAAATCTTTATAAATCCACTGGTTATTTGAGGATCCCAAATTTTAAAAGATTTCATTAAATTTCATTAAAATATCAATTGAGAACGCTTACATTTTAATGGATTTCATTAAAATTTCAATTGAGGACACCTTAATTTTTATTTTTTTTAAAGAAGGATGTCAAATTCATGATTTTTTGTGGATTTAAATGTAAAAATGGATAGAAGGACATGATTTGCAATTAAAAGTTTGGAATGTTTGATGCTAAAAATTGTTGAATTCAAATTAGTAACATGTTTGCAAATGTTGAAAACATGAAGTGCAAATCTTCTAAACTAAAATTAAGAAAGAGAAACAATTACTAGCTTTTGAAAGATTTGCTCAAATGAAAATATAGACCAGTCAACTAGCTTGATTTGTAAAAAATACTACTGACCCAAGAATATAAAATGAAATTTCCACTAAAATATGAAGTATCAATTAATACTAAAAATATGTCCTCATTTTGGATTCATAAAACAATAAGCATTTTCATCTAAAACGAAATCGGCAAAATATCAAATTCAAAGTGGAAGTATAAATTTGGATATGGACTATGAAAAAACGGGGAAAAGAACGTGCCCACGAGGATAAATTATAATTATTTTGTATCTTCTTTTCAAAAAGTAAATTACAAAACACGAGATTTTACACATAATTCATATATGAGGACCTATTTTGACAACATTTATATGCATAATTTGGGCTAAATAACATTATTCCATGATATCCAAACCCTTGTTTCCTTGTCGTTGCTAAAAGATGTACATATGCTAAACATTTTAAGATATCAAAACGACACCTTCTTCGTACTCCAAAAACCTTAAACCTGTTTTTACAGATTTACTGGTACAAGTGGAAGCAATAATTTTTTCACTATAAAAAATCATTGAACTTGATCCAAGACAACCCATTACTGATTCTTCTTATGAACAGCTCGACGGCGGTGCTGTTGTCATAGAACCGCCGTAGTGGCCTCCACCGCCTTCTTTGGGTGCAGAAAAAAATTCCTTGACTCCAAAGCTATTAGCTTCTCCTCCCGATCTAAATCTGCAGGTCAACAACATGAAAACAATCGTTTAATAAATAATAAAACACTCAATTGTCACTTTACATGTCTCCCTCTCCATAATATTAGTATATTTTACCAAAAATTTGGTACAATGAATGCTTTGTTTGGATTTTAATTTACAGTAATTCTTGCAGATTATACTAATCCAACTAAATAAATAATAAGAAAAATTATATATTTAAAAACTGACAATTTAATTATAAGAAAAATATTTTAAAATAACAAGAGGATTCATGGCTAATGACAAGAAAGCTTACTTTCTAGGCTAAACTGAGAGTAATGGAGGTCGAAGCCAGAAGGATCTGTAGATGGGAGAATCAGCCATCTTCCCTCCTTAGTATACTGCTTCAGCGTCGCCTCGATCAAATCCTCAACCGTGGCCTCCGGTGGCATCACCACCTGTACGGCGCCAAGGCTTCTCTGTATTGTTACATTCAGCAGCAATTTCGTCAACTTACGCCTTTCTTGCACCACCACTAAGTCCGGCAACCCTGGACCAACTCTCTTCCCCGCCACCAAGTCAGACACTGTTCTTGTCCATGGCAGTATCTCTTCCACCACCACCCTTCCACTTCTTCCGTGAAACGACGATGCTTTTTCTGATAATAATCCCTTCCTGCAGTTCTTCTCGTGGCCTCCTTTACGATGATTCTTGGAAGTCGGCATTAAGAATCATATATCAGTATATATGTGAGTATATTTTTTAAAATCATATGCTAAGAGCACTCTTGTTAAGAGGAAAATTGAAGGAACGATGGTATTTATATTTGTGGGTGGGGTTGGACTATATGATTGCTCGAGTTGACTGGCTAATGTGGGGAAAAATATTTTAGTAGAATGAGTAAAAGGAAATATATAAATATTTTTTATTTTTTTTTCGTACCAGTCACGTTTCTAAAATGTTGAATTATTCCCAAATAGTGCATAAATTATGCAAGTATAAAAGCTAATATGAATACTTGAGTTGACCGGTTAATGCACTAGAAATTGTTCTAAAATGAATTATTATATTAATTAACAAAAATTACAATCATTCATCTTGCACTGAATACTTGTGTTGAATTGCCCTAGTCAAATGCCACTTGGGTTCAAGCGTCACGTATGATTAGTGTATAACGTCCATTCAAATGAATCAATTATTAAATTGTCCTCACAGATTAGAAGTACAGATAAATTTACCAAGACGACTGCCTAAGGGCCAACCCTATTCTCACCAACCTTGAAGAGTGTCCAACCGTTCAACCAAATCTAAAGGTTCATCTCATGACGACTCAATGGTTGAAATGGTTAGATAGTAATTCTACACTTTGTCTTGGCACGTCCAGTTCATGGTTGAAGGAACGAAGGGTGGATCCAATTCCTTGAAGTGATCTCAAGCCACGTGTTCCATGACAACCGTCATGGCACAATACGGTTCCCTTAGGTTGTTCTCGAAAAAGGTGAAAATCATACCATTATACTTTATCGAGACAATTAGGAAAGTTCGGAGACAAACTAACATTCCTAAGACAGTTAAGTGAGAAAATCACTTTCAAGTACACAATAATAGCGACAAAAGGTACAGAATCAAATATATGATACGGTTGACCCACCGACAAGATGACAAATCATTTAGTACAACAGCCTAAGTTCAGAAAAACCTTACTCAAATCTCTTATAAATAACCTAGACTCGCACAAACGAAGGATATATAAATCTAGTGCTGACTGGATAATTGGGATGCCGAGTCTTCAACTAAAAAAATGTCAGGTGGACCGAGTTAGTGGTTAGTCTTCTGCTCTCGTGGCCACTTGTGGAGATGAAATGGTCACTTATTGGTAAAGCTGCATTCTTTTCTTCGTATAACTTAGCAAAGATGTATGTACACATAGTAAAAGGTTTTTAGTTGTTGTCTAACTACCCTGATTCATCTTTGCAAAGACTCAATGCTTTTCATTCATTAAAAACCACACTTGCTATGGGCAAAACCTCACCATTGGCCTAGAGTACCTGACTCGACACGGTCTACTTCCCAAGATGTTGCGATCCAATCGGTACGAGCATGGCCAATTCACCTTTATAACATTTCTAGCTTACTTCTTTATCAAAATACTTGGTGAAAGATAGTAACATGCTAATGACAAAGCGTCTTTGTGTCCAAATCAACCTTTCCATCAATTAATGTGTATGCCTGAATTTGACTCAGATGCATTGGAGAAGACGTACTCATGGTCCCAACAACTACAATTTTCTAGTGAACAACTTGCTCAACAAACTAGGACATGGGATTGTGTTTTCATCGATCGAATTCAAATGCGTCATTCTCGCGTGGTGAGATTAGATGTGTAAAATGAACGATATTGAATTTGAGGAAATTACATAGAAGCCGGTGTTTAAATTTTCAAGTTTAAAAATCAGGGGGGAAGTTTTTTAATCAAAACTCAGGTTTCAAATTTCTAATATTATATAATAAATTATAAAATTGAATTAATTTAACATACCCACCCACCTGCTTCTACCCTCCCCCCACCAAATTTCATTCATTTTCTCGTCCACGTTCTCTCTCTATCTTATCCATTCCCCCTTCTTTCCCTTTATCACACAGTTAACCAGAGGCAAGTCTGCACGACGTCAGCGCTCATGGCGGTGTCACTCTGGAGCAACGAGCGGTGCCTGCAGCCAGCGATCTACACGAAATAATTTTAGATTCATGAAAATATGTGACCTGTGACATAT